TGTTTTTAATTCTGAGGGAATCAAAATGGATAAAACCAAAGTAGAAGCTATTTGTAAAATGCGTAGTCCCACCACTGTCACAGAATTGCAGCGATTTATGGGTATGGTGAATTATTTAGGTCCATTTATTAAAAATTTGTCACAAGAGACAACAAATATGCGATCTCTTCTTTCAAAAAATGTAGTTTGGAATTGGACTGAACAGCATGAGTCTGAATTTCAAGTTATAAAAAATTTAATCTGTTCCGCTCCAGTTCTTATATATTATGATCCTAATAAAAGCATTATTTTATCAGTAGATGCTTCCAAAGATGCAATGGGAGCTGTTTTGTCACACGATAAACAGCCAATAGCATATGCATCAGGAAGTCTTACCAAATGTCAACAAAACTATTCCCAGATAGAAAAAGAGCTGTTAGCAGTACTATATGGCTGTACAAAATTCCATCAATATATTTATGGTAAGCAATTCACCATAGAAACAGATCATAAACCATTAATAACTTTATTTAAAAAAGCATTACAGGATGTACCACCTAGGTTACAGCGAATTATGTTGAGATTACAACCATATGATATTAATATTGTATATAAACCTGGTCGTTATCTGTATATAGCTGACACTTTGTCAAGGAGTGCTTTGCCAGAGCAATCATTAGTCGATATTGATCAAGATTTGGATCTACATGTTAATTTACTTATGTCTAATCTGTCAGTCAGTCCTAAAAAATTCAAACAAATACAAGAATTAACTTTAAAAGATAAGTCATTGTGTCAATTAATTAATTACTGTCAAAATGGATGGCCAGAGCACAAGAGATTGCTCAGTCAAGATACTAAACCTTATTTTGCAATTAAAACTGAAATTCATGTCTTAGATAACATTGTCTTTAAGGGTGATAACATTATAATTCCTGAGTCATTAAGACAGTCTATTCTTGAGCTCATACATAATGGTCATCAAGGCATTAATAGCTGTATCCGTTTAGCTAAAACAACAGTATACTGGCCACAAATGTATACTGATATTGAGAAATATGTAGGTAAATGCAGGGTGTGTCTATCATATAGAAGAAATAATAGTAAAGAACCAGTACTCCATCATGATTATAAGTTATTGCCATGGCATAAAGTTGGTATTGATTTTTTTGATTTTAACAACAATAAATATCTTATTGTAGTAGACTACATGTCAAAATATGTTGAAATTGCTATTTTAAAGTCAAATTTCACTGCAAGTATTGTAATTACTCAATTAAAATCTATTTTTGCCCGTCATGGTATTCCAAATATTCTAATTTCTGATAATGGTCCACCATTTAGTAGCAAAGAGTTCAATAATTTTGTAAACAACTGGGACATTGAACACATTACATCCAGTCCTTATTTAAGTCGTTCAAATGGAATGGTGGAAAGAACAGTTGGAACTATAAAAAATATGTTAAAAAAATGTCATGCTGATAATTCAGATCCATATTTAGCACTATTATCTTATAGAAATACACCTAAGTACAGTAAATACTCACCTTCAGAATTGTGTATGTCGAGAAGCTTAAGAACTCTAGTCCCCATTAGTGAAAATAACTTGCAGTTTAAAGTAATAGATAATGATAAATTAAAGGATAACATTGAAAAACAAAAATTAAAATCGTCCATTTATTATAATAAAAATAGTAAACACTTAAAACCATTGTCTGTAGGTGATCATATCTTGTTTAAACACAAACCGAATAGTTGTTGGGTTCCAGGTATCATTTCACAAGTAGGTCCAGAACCTCGTAGTTTTGTTATTAACAGTCCTGAAGGAATATTCCGTAGAAATAGGCAACACATTTTGAAACCATCTCATCCCATTGACAATTTTGATAATTTAGAGGCCCATAGTAATTTAAAGTTGTCACCATCAGAACTAAAAGCCACATCTGATTTACCTATGGTCAGCGATAGATCAAAATCTAGATATGGGCGTACCTATAAAATACCTGAAAGACTAAACATTTAAAAATCATTATTACAGTCATATGATATTATAGTTTGCATTTGGTATGTGTATCTATGTATTATTACAAATATATCATAAGATACTCTGTAAACATTGTTGTTGAGTTAGTTATAAGTACATAATGTTTCTATGAAAGTCATTTTCATTTAAGTAAATAAGTAAATTTAGTTTTATTTTCAGTTTATATAAGGAAGAAAGGAATAGTTATGCTTAACTAATTTATCCAATAGTCAATCTGTGTAAAAATAAATAGGTTGAGAAAAACCTGGCTATGAGATTGTTGTATTTAAATAACTTACGTATAGATATTGTATCTAATTGTTAGAAAAAAGAAAAACTTAACTGCCTTCAGTAAATAAAATATGTAATTAACACATTAATATTTTTAAGAAATGTCAAGTAATCAAATGTCACTGTCAGTTTAAAGTAATATCAATGTTTGTTTTTTTTTCTCTAAGTTTGGGTTAAGAACATTGAGCCATAGTGAACATTCTTTGTAATATATTAAAAAATAAAATAAAGTGTTTATAGAATCAAAATAGGTCTGTTGCATAAAATTGTAAAGCTATCCTTCTTTGTTTTGTAAAAGGAAAGATGTTAGGTAGAATTATGGCAACACTAGCCCCTTCCGTTTCCAGCTAGAATGGCGTCCACATGTGTCTCGTAGTCCTAATGTTAATTAAAGTAAAATATAATAAAACAGCTGATAAAAGTGAAGTATATTTCTTTATTAGTCAAACCTCTGAGCCTAACAATATAATACTCATATAACCATACATAAACATACACATATAAATAAATATATATATATATATACATATGCATAACATACATAAAATACAATAAATATAATATATATCGATGCAAACTATAGGGAAAAATCACGTAGTCAGGTAGTATTCACGCACAAGTTTTTTGAACTCAAACTTATTTTCAGTACTACGTATGCTTAGTGGTAGAGCATTCCACAGGCGTATGGCAGTAATAGTGAACGATTTGGATCCAAAGCCAGGATGATTAACGGGGATTTGTAGTGTAAGATTTCTGCACGAGCGAAGATCACGTTGATTGGAAGTGCCCAGAAATTGAAATCTAGATTTGAGGTACTCTGGGGCACATGGATCGTATAAAAGCTTGAAGAGCATGCAAAGTAATCTAAGGTTTCTTCGGCCATTGATTGGCAACCATTGAAGTTGTTTTCTAAAGGGAGAAATGTGGTCGTATTTACGTAACCCGAAAATGAAGCGAATACCGCTGTTGAGCAAACGATCCAATTTGATAAGAAGGTTTTGAGTGATGTCAGAATAGCAGATGTCGGCGTAGTCGAGAATAGGGAGAATAAGAGACTGGACGAGTGCGACTTTGGTACAGGAAGGGAGAAAGTGCTTAAGACGATACAGTGCTCGAAGTGTGTTAATCACCTTGCGACTAACTTCTTGAACATGAACTTCCCAGCTGAGAGTAGTATCGATAAATAAGCCTAGATTCCTAACGCTGGGTAGATACTGGATAACATTGCCATTATAAATTACCGCATTCAAGTTACTCAGATCAAGCGTAGCTAATTGACGAGAACTACCTAAAATAATAGCCTGGCATTTTGATTGACATAGTGATCTATCAACGCACAGCCCAAACCACTGGACGGATCGGGCTGAAATTTGGCATGCAGGTAGATGTTATGACGTAGGCATCCGCCAAGAAAGGATTTTTATCAATTCTACCCCCAAGGGGATAAAATAGGGAATAAAAGTTTGTATGAAACTTTGTCAATTTTAAACCGATCGGGCTGAGACTTTGCATGCAGGTATAAGAAGAATCATAGATGAATGTCATTGCGTATAATACAAGCCTAAGAACAAAAACTGTAGCCTACACTTCAGCTCTACACCGAAGCGAAGCGAGGGCGGGCCGCTAGTGTATTATGTAAGTATGAGAACGGCTACGCAGTTGAACACTGCTGCGATAACGTTTGACTGGCAGAGAATGCGTTTAGCGTTAAGTCCGCCTTTTGTCCATTTTGTAATTATGGCAATAAAGTTTAAATAAACAAATAATAATGACCCAATAGAAGTATGGCGAAATATCGCAATAAAGCGCCAGATAATAACGCGCCTATGGGCGGGAAAATCAAAATTGACTATTTTCTAGAAGTAAAGAAAGCGATGGGTTCGCCAATACCCTTTTTAATAGGGATGATGACTTTTTTTTCTTTGTTTATCAGGTAGATTATCAAAAAGTGAGTTAGTTTGTCTATACAGACAAACAGACACAAATTCGGACATACGTCCGGGATAAACTCAAAAGGTACTGCATGGATTTACTTCAAATTTGGCAGGAATATTATTATGAAGTCGGGTTAACATATAGGCTACATATTATCACGCTATCACCTACGGGGCACGAGCAGTGAACCTTTATTTCTAACTCACTCCACGCGTACGGAGTCGCGGGCGCCCGGTAGTACATATATAAATATATATATATATATATTTACACATACAGATGGAGCTAAAGAAGTTTCATTTCAGTCGTGTGCTCAGCATACTCCTTTTTTTTTACTGTGGTCTTCTTGAAGGTGTACGTTACTTTCCCAGACGGGCGATTATATTTCCGACAGGTGATTCAAGCACTCTTGCAGCAAATTGCGCTTAATCTCGATTTAACTATAACTGGATTTAACTCATACAAAAAGGTCAAACATCAGTGTAAGTTCGACATTCTTGTATGACCTAATGCTGGTTTAAGTTAAATCGAGATTTAGCTAAAATGCTGCAAGTGGGCCTTACAATTTCATTTATAAGGCTAAACTGTACTAAAATTTTCAACATAATCACGAAATTATTTATCTGCTGCCAAAACCCAGGCAAACGCCTGTATCACATACAGTACAGAAAGGTAATGCTCAATTTATTCTCAACATCTACGGATATCATAAGGCCTCACGATAATGCCCCCTAAAAGTACAGGCGCTGCGCTCCCATTGTCTACGTTGTCATCAACTCCTCGCGTCATTAATGGTCTCCGGGATCTGAATCTCCAGGCCGTCCAGGTCCTTGCTCATGATGATCTGGCAGCCGAGCCGGGACGTGTCCGTGAGACCGTACGCGAGGTCCAGCATGTCGCGTTCTTCGTCGCTCGCCTCTTCTGGTAATCTGGAACAAGATTAGATTTGACGTGATAACGAACAAGCACGAAAAATTGTGACGTCATGTCACGAGTCACGAGTTAGTTCCACGGTGCGTGTGAGGTGAGGTCGAGGGGTTCCTTCGACCAGCCTCTCTCCCAAGGGCGTCGCCAGCTTATGACTAAGGGGGGGAGGGCAGTGGGGCAATATAATAGGTAAGGAAGTCAATTGCTCGCATTTTGGTCGCTTTGCGGCTAGAGTCTGTGCGGAAAGAGAATGGGATTTAGATTGTAGATTGAAGGGCGCTGTAGTGCTTTTCTACAATATTTGTAAGGCTTTACCCCTTTTAGACATGAAAAACTAAAAAACCGCAAGAAATCACAACAACGAACAACAAGTTATCAATACAAAACTTTGACGTTTTACAGATTGCTGGGTTTGATTGCCAAATAAAAATTTTAATGTTACTTCCGTTTTTCGCCACGCCCATTCTCTTTCCGCACAGACTCTAGCTACATTTGATCTCAATTTTTTTTTGTTTTTATAGATAGCTCCGACAAATGACTCCACCCCACCTGATGTTAATTAACGGTGAAGTCCAGACGCGAAGATAGCTGATACAGCAGTTCTACTTCCACAAGTGATTAGAGCGTTCGGCGTGCGATTGTAGAAGTTAAGCAACTTTCGCAATGGTCGGTCATTGGATGGGTGACCATAACTTATCATCTCGAGCTCCTCCGTACCTCGGAAGGCACGTTAAACCGTTGGTCCCGGCTGCATCTGCAGTCGTTAGCACCCACCAATCCGCACAGGGACCGCGTGGTGGGTTACGGCCCATTCTCCCTATTCCATCCATAGGGAAAGCCTGTACCCCAGCAGTAGGGCCTTTCATTTGACGACCCTCGTGGCCGAGTGGTTTGTACGCCGGGTTTCATGGTGTTGCTGACTCGAGAGGTCCCGGGTTCGAATCCCGGTGGGGGGCAGATGTTTGTGTGATGAATACGGGCATTTGTGCTCCAGTCATGGATGTTTAATATGTATTTCTATATAAATATACTTATATATGTACTGTATATGTTTTCTGTCCGTTACCCTAGTATCCCATAACACAAGCCTTACAGTGCTTACTTTGGGGCTAGGCTAATTGGTGTGAGTGTTGGAAATATTTATTTTATTTATTTATTTTATTTATTTCATAAGCTGGTGAAGATATTGTTTTTTAATAATATCGTTTTGAGTCACTAAAAAGATAAGTATGTAATAGCAAAGCTGGTTTTGGCCAGGTCGTTCACTTCTGTCGGAATTGAATAATATTATGCCATAAAAACAAGATATTATCCTCTGTGTAATTTTCATTCATGAATTCATTTCGTCATAGGTAAGTAGTTATGTATTCAAGAACACCGTTAAGAGTTCTCAATTCAATCTAATATATAAAATTCTCGTGTCGCGGTGTTTGCGGTTGAACTCATCCGAAACGGCTTTCCCGATTCACATGAAATTCTGTGTGCATATTGGGTAGGTCTGAGAATCGGACAACATCTATTTTTCATCCCCCTAAATGTTAAGGGTAATCCAACCCTAAATTTTTTTTTCAATTTTAGATATTTTTTTTTTTAATTTTTTTATGATACATCATACAAAAATACACGCAACCCTAAATTTTCACCTTTCTACCACCAACCCCTATTTTTTTATGGCGGTACGAAGTTCGCTGGGTCAGCTAGTAAATTTATAAGATAGATCTAAAGAAAAGTTTACTAGAAAAAAAAAATTCGACGCGGCCAATAGGGCCGTGGTAGCATAATGGTCAGTGCATTCGCCCGGATTGCGAAGGGTGCGGGTTCGAGTCCCGTCCGCTGCCTGGTCCGCGTGGATTTTTTCTAGTAAACTTTGCTTTAGATTCAAACATCTAGCAGTTAAATGCTTAAAAATAAATAAAAACATAATTATAAGATAAGAGTTAAAAATCATGAGGTATTTCAGTTGAACAATTTTGTGGTGATATGTATGTATATCAATGACGCCAACAAAATGGTAGAATTTTTTTTTAGGGTAGTTCCCATACATGTAATCTGGGGATGATTTTTTTCATCATCTACCCCATCGTGAGAGGTATCATTGAATCATCATCATCAGCCTATTAATGTCCCCCCACACTGCTTGCGCACAGGCCTTCCCTATGGATGGATTAGGGAGATTGGGCCATGACCCACCACGCGGGCCCAGTGCGGGTTGGTAGGTGCTAACGATAGCAGAGGCAGCCGGGACCAACAGCTTAACGTGCCTTCCGAAGCACGGAGGAGCTCGAGATAGTAAATTTTGGTCACCCATCCAATGATCGACCACTGCGAAAGTTGCTCAACTTCAACGAACGCAGCCGAACGCGCTAACCACTGGCGCCATCGAGCTCCTTGAATAGGTTCTTTAAAATTACTAAGAGGTTTCAAAGACATTTTTTTTATTTATCTCTATGGATCCGTTTGCGAAATATCGAACTTGTGATAAAGCTGTTAAAAGTGATAAATTTCAAGAAATTTGCATAAAATGAAAATACTTAATTAACATACAAATCTAGTAAATTTTATGTGATGCATTACCAAAAAGGTATATACAACATTTCAAATATGAAATAAAGTTCAAAACAAATAGTAAATGAAAAGTTAATGGTAAAACCCGAACCATCCAAAACATGAAGTTAAATTGTAATAATATTACTAGACTAGCGGCCGCCCGCGACTTCGTACGCGTGGAGTGAGTTAGAAATATAGGTTCACTGCTCGTTTCCCGTAGGTGATAGCGAGATAATATGTAGCCTATATGTTGACCCGACTTCTTAATAATATTCGTGCTAAATTTGAAGTAAATCCATGCAGTACTTTTTGAGTTTATCCCGGACATACATACAGACAAAAATTCTAAAAACTATATTTTTGGCTTCGGTATCGATTGTAGATCACACCCCAAGTATTCTTTTAAAAAAATATTCAATGTACAGTTTTGACTTTCCTACCATTTTAATTATGCATATGTAAAGATAATATTAGAGGTCTTCTATCTCTTTCTTCAACCAACCAAAACTCATGTGACGTTTTTAACACATTACAATGTAGTGAATTGCGAGTGAGTTCGAAAATGTTATTCTTACCTATCGAAATCCTCTTGCTTCAATATCACATGGCAGGTGGAGCATGTGAGCGTACCCTCGCAGGCACCGTAGCCTTCAATGTTCAGGTCGTTATTGACAACCACATCGAGCAGGCTGTCTCCCACCTTGGCTTCAGTCTCGATCCTCTTTCCATCGTTGAGCACAAATGTGACTTTCACTCTGTTGGTTAGATTAAAAACTACATATAAATGCCAAGCCTACTCTATAAAAAGTTTAAAGCGAAAATAGTGGAATTAAAGAATGTTGTTGAATTAAACATTAAGCCAATAATACCAAAAATATTTATTATCAAGAAGAAAATTTCCCTAGAAGATATTGACTATGTGATGAAAAACAAAATTGCAACTCCCACTGTCACTGAGTGTGATATTTTAAAGACCTCCCTCCCTCCCCTCTGTTCGTCAAGTAATGTAACTTTTCCATGCATTGTGCATGGCAAAGTTATTGAAAATACGTGTATCTCTATAATGTGGGCAACAAATTTGTCTGTGCTGCGTTAAGAAGAAACTTTGTGTGTACGAAAAAATATCCAGTGTTGTTTCAGGGTGTTATGCTTACAGTAAAAAATTATCACATTTCGGAATCAATGTAGATTCAGATATATCAGATAGATAATCAACATTTTTTTATATGAAAAGGGCAGGAGGAAATTTACATATTTCTAACCGTGAAAATGGAAATCAGATAAATAACGTTTTATTTTCAACATTTTAAAGTAAGTTTTTCCGAATGCAGGGATGAAACTGGTGTGTAGCCCTTCCTCCTCATTATACCCGCACCACTCCCATTTCACTTCAAAATGTTAAAAGGGTGTTCATTATTTTTATGTCTGCTTCTGTCTGCCACTATAGATGCTTGCTATACCAAAATGATCCAAAGCTAATCGAATAAAGTAATAGCAACCGGTTCTGTACCATTTTCTTTAAAATTACAAATTTAAGGAAACTTTAAAAGTAAAACAGTTTTTTTATAGCCAGTCCTTCGTTCAGTAGCATGAAACTTATACAAGCTAGTCAATGAAGTTTGCATCGATCACCAATGTGACATGTTTATCATTAGTAAATGATAGAAATAAAACTGTACTTATGCAAACTGTACGTATACAAAATAATCAATTGCAAAATCGTGACCTAGCTTTGTATTACAGAATCTCATGAATATGTGTCTATTGTTGAAGGTTTCTTCTTTCCTTCCATTTCTCTATCCCACTAATCCTCTTTAAAAGTATTGTAAGGTACTAACTGTCAGGCAATTGTATATAATGCACAGTCTTAAAGTAGACATGATGCAATACCATTTAATATTGAAACCACTAACAAAAGATATAGTTTTTCCACAAAGTATTTTTACGCTTCCAGATTTTATTTATTTCACAGATCATTTTTATACAACTGATTAAATGTTAAACTGAATATTTACAGTCTAAATCATGAACATGCCAAACTTATTATGTCACAATGCCTTACTAAGTATGTCCTACGAAGATACAGAGATGTTGAAGTCATTTTCAAAATAAATGGTATCTTATCTTAGAGTATATTTTAATTTGTAGTATATTATAATTGTAGCTTTAGTTAAATATTGTTTTGGTTTTATATTACACATTATAGTTTTGATTATTGTGTATTTAAATTTAGTTGTAAAAGACTTTTGCCTGAAACACAGGTTTACCTAGTTCAGGCTATAAGTTACAAATCTTTTGTTATTTCTAGAATTAAGTAATTTAGTGTGAACTGAAATTGTATTATCGTTTATTATTATTTATGTATGCGTTTTAGATGTATATTTATGATATAATAGTTGGTCTATAACCTAAAAAATTCTATAGCAAATCTAAGAGTATTTACTTACTTCTCGTCCTTCAAAGCTGGTATATTTGTCGATAAAGGAACAACACTTTTATAATTGCTAAAACTGGCACCCAAATAGTTATATCTTAGTAAATAACTATGAGTGCTTCTGACGGTTCTAAATATATTTCTAAGAGACATTTTACTATACACAAAACTAGACTATTTGAAAGTAGACTTTAATAGGACACCCAGCAAATTTATGTGATACACCAATATTATAAAATTGCCAAATTATCTCTTTCCTTTGGGAACTTGACCCCGAAACGAAATTATCATGAATGACAGATATTTATGACAGATCAGTTACAAATACGTCAGCGTATTTTTTTCGTTAGTATAGTAGTGGTGTTCTTTCACATTTCAACAGGATCATATCCTTCATATCATATCCTAAAAAAAGATTGATACAAACGCCTCAGTTCACTCTGTTCATTTTTAAAATAAATAATGAATTGTTTTTTTTTACCTGTTTAAGGTATGCATTGGTAATTTTTTTAGGAACGATTGTTTCTTTATGGGTACAAACAAAGTGCATTGCCCACCCTCAACACCTTCTAGCAACACCTATGCGAATACGCCAAATGGTTTTACACCTTAAAACCGTTTTAGGCAGCTGTCTTATCTTGCTTTGGCGGATTTTTGTTTGTGTTCGGAAAAAACGACCCAAGGACACCCGTGAAGCGTGAACGTGGCTAGGTTCCCCATTCGCATGCAATTCTGTCTTGTGAATGAGAGTACTGTATACTGCGGGCGGTTGTGTATTGTTTTGAGCCAAAGGGGATAGTTAATTGAAAGACTACAATAATAAATTGAAAACTTCACGTTACTTGGTATTCAAGGACACTAGTGTGTGACAAAATATGAACACGCTATTTAGTTTGGTATACACCTAAATTTGAAGTGCTCAATTTATGCGCTAACTTTACCGAAAGGCGTGTGAAAAAAATCAAAGTTGGTAAAATAAACATTTTTCAAAAGTACTGATTAGGCAGAAGAAATCGTCGAGATGTAATACTAATGACAATCTTCAAACCAAAATGAAAAATATGAAAAGAGTGGTGTAGATTCTGGCATGATTCTCTAAACTAAATTTAACATCAGTCTCTCCTTTTCATTCTGTGCTCTTCTTCTTAGTCGTTCACTCTTGTCAGAGTGGTCGTGGTCATGTGCCGGTCAGAATATTGCGCCACCGCTTCCTTCGTGATGCGACGCCATGTTGCTCTGTGTTTTGCAGAGTGGGAGTTATCGTTGATGCTGGATCGTGTGACAGATTTGATGAGATCCGTCCACCGTATAGGAGAGCGTCCACGTGATCTTTTGCCCTCGACTTTGCCTTGCACCACCAATCGTTCCATAGATTCCTCGTTACGGGTAATGTGCCCAAAGAACTTGAGGATACGTATTTGCACAGTCGACGATAACCTCTTTTTAATTTGAAGTTCTTTTAGAATCGAATCATTGGTTCGGTGCGCAGTCCACGGGATGCGAAGCATGCGTCTCCAGCACCACATTTCTAGAGCGTCAATCTTGCGACGGTCTCGCATCCTCAGCGTCCACGTCTTAGCTCCGTATAGAAAGATTGGAAAGACCAGGCATTTCATTAGTCGAGCCTTTGTGTTTCTGGTTATTCTGCGGTCCTTCCAAATCTTGGTGAGTTTTTCCACTGAGGATCTAGTTATGGCGCAACGTCTCTGAATTTCGTCCTCGCAACTTCCAGCGTTGGTGATCGTGGATCCTAGATACACGTAGCTGTTAACCACCTCGCACTGTGCACATTCTGTGCAGAGAATGATAAAGATACACTGTTTTCAAATTTAAGTTTAGGTTTAGAAAATTCGATTCGATTCCGGCATGAATCGACTCCAATATCTTAATAAAAAGTTGTTTTCTAATGCACCAGTGGCTACGAAGTGTTCAAGCTGTCCATGGCGCCATGGACATAAAATACGGTGGAAAATTGTCACAATTTCCTTGGGGCTCGTACAGCGTGCCCGCGATGTCTCGCAACTTCAGTCGCACCGACTCACAACGATTTTCAGCGACGAAATTTTTGCAGCGTACGAGCTATTGGTGACGTAACTGGTGGTAAGTTTAATAGCAATTAATCCTGTACAAACTGTTTGCATTCTTGGTTATTTACCTACCGTCACCGAAATGGATAACAAATTAATAAAACTTTTATTGTTCTCTCTCAATAATTTCGAAACTCATTATGATATTTTTTATGTTTTGGCGGCGGTTGTGTATTGCTTGTATTAGGCTGCCCGCCTATATCCATGAATTGTTATCAATAAAATAAATATTATTATTGGAATAACACTGCGCTACGCAATCGGAAGTGACCTGAGGAGGCTGGTTGCTGCAAGTCGTACAATCATCGGTTGCTAGTCGCCCCGGCATGCTGCATTGTGCCATTTAGATATACACGTTGTATTTTGATTTTCGTCGTAATTTACGATGTTTTGAAACAAGTAGCTGCGAGGCAGTGGGTGACATCGTCGGCATGCTGCACATGCCCATATTAGAAAGGAGGTTAATATATAGAAATGTCAATTTTGAAAAGTTTTTTATTTGTCGATTCAATATAATCGCTATATTTATCTGGAAATTTCTACCTTATTCCTTTTCGAATATCTCGCAAAACCACATTTCAAAGAAATGTATCCCAAGTTACAGCTTCCTACCTACGAATGTAATTTTATATTTATCAATCACAGAAAGAGAAGCATAAATAATCAAAAATACTGACTTTTAACGTGAACATCGCTATAAACCAAAAATACGTTTCGTTTCGCTTTCATTAGCACGTGAGTTGCACTGCCATTGTCTTTATCAACAAGTTATGCTTGGCTTTTTGCCTTTGACTTTGCTTTTGCTTCCCTATGTTCGGAAAAACCAAAATAAAAAAATGAGTTTTTGCTTTTGCGATTGATTGTTGATTAGAGAAAATATTGTGATTTCATGGAAAATAGCCTTATAATCCTTCGCAAAGCTAGCAAAATTGTAAATATATAATCTTAAATCATGTCAGATCGCTTACGACAAACGAAGAGCGAATCGAATGAAGAAATTATAGAAGATTTAACTCGATCGCTAAAAGATGCCTTACAAAGTGAAGAAAAGGTGACAAAAGAGGGAGCAGAATTGGTAGATAAAGATTTCATAATAGAAGAAGACCGTAACGCGGAATCTATGCCTCCAGTCGATGTACAAGCTACTTTCGGTAAGTTTTATAAAAAAAAAATTACATCCTCGCCCTTTGTGTTGTTTTATGGCAGGAATGCTTGGAATATCGTTTTTTACAGTATTAAACGTCTAGTTCTGGTGCTTGCAACGTAATTAATAATAGAAGAAACTGCTTTTGTTCAATCTGCCGATATCATGTAGATCATGGCAACTGCACTTACTTAATACAAAGGAAGCAAAGAATATTAGTATTTATAGTCTATTCACTTTGGCTTGAGACAAAATGTAAACAAAGAATCTGAGGTTCTAAAACTTTTATAATGTCAGAAAGTACCTACTAGTCAATGATTAGGTATAATTTATGTAACCTATATTAAAATTATAATGTCTTGATGATAAATATATTAAAAGAATGTGTATTTCAAATGAAACCAGCATAATACTTTGCAAATAATATTTATTCACTGTCTGACAACTCACTGGATGCACTGCCACCAACTTTAATAATAAATTTATCCACAACATCATCAATAATACCATTTTTTGCTCTTCTTTAATGACATGGTCAATGCACCGTTCCCCGATTCAGCTGTGATTGATTGTAAGGCATCGGCTAATTTTTAATTTCAGTCATCTTAAATGTTTTATTATTTTTACCAACATATCCCTTGACTTGTGCCCATATGTACAATACAATCAGATGCTTCCCTTTTCCACTTGGGTTTTACAATCCTATTGACAATCTCTCGATGAGCTTCTTTCGCAGTTTTAATTGTATGATCTTGCCAAATTTTGTTCATAGTGTGTCCTGTAACAAATATAAGTTCATTAACAACTTATGAAAAATAAAAACAATAATAATTTAATACAATTGGTAACATGACACAACATATTTGAGTAACATTTTCACAGGTATGAAAATAATAAGTATCATTCAATATTTATAAAAAGATTATAATAAAATTATGTGCATAGAAATTAATATATTTTAGTACTGTGATGACAAACAATAAAAAATATGAATTTAGTTTATCAGTTTATGAATACAAAAGGAAATATAATTTCATTCAGAAGTAAATTTCCCACAGGATAAAGTAGTTTAATATTGTATTTTACTAACCTCCATTTATCCAAGTTTCTTCAGTGTAATAAATAGTTCTACCTTCGCTCCTGAGCTTTAGGATATTATTTAAATATTTGATGGGCCATAAAACAATGTCATCTCTTTCAGTAAGCCCTCTTTCGGATATTTAAATTGTAATGATTTCATCAACTTGAAAAAACAGGTCCTCTTAAAGTTGGGCAAAGTTTCATCTGTATTCTCAGCATGCAATACTTTGTCAACGGTGGGCATCTCCTTATTAAAAAAAATGTGTGGACTTTGCGGCGTATCGCAGCCTTATCCAATCCATATCGTCCAATGTATCCTATCCAACAAAGATACTTTAAATGGCGGAGGCGGAGGTGATGAGATACAGCCAGTACTATTCTTTTCCTTCACCAACCGGTAAACCGTAGCTCGTGATATGCCCAGTATTTCGGCGGATTTATTGATTATATCACTTCTATATGGATAGGAACCTTTTGGCCAGGTTTCTTCAACATGTTTAAAAACATTTATCACGAGCTCCTTTTCGTTGGAGCGCAATGGTCCACTCTTTGTACGCTTTTTCTTCGGCGAAGAAAATGTACAAGAGCTGCTTGGTCCCGGTTCACCACTCATAACTATAGCTACGAAAACGTCAATTAAACAAGAAAACAATCACAAACAACTTTAAACTTAACAGTAAATAAAATAACAACAAACTCAACAAATAAAATAAGGAAATAACAAGAATTTAACAAATAAGATTGAATAAGAACGCTCGCGTCAACAGGTTGATCGGGAGAGTAAAGATGGCTGACATAAACCAACCGATTACAAAACACAACACTGCAACGTAAAATACTTGTATCATGTCTACTCTTAAATTTTGTCGTATTATAATACGTCTTAGGTTTGGGAATGATTGTGTTTTTAGGTCTTTTTCCATGTCAACTTAAGTTGTTAAAATACTTTTACCAGCAAATTAAAAATATACGAATTTATGATGTGAATGTACGTTGAATATAATGTAAAATATTTTATTTTATTATTCATATGTATGTAACAGGTTTTAAACTTAAATTTTCGCTGCATTTCCTATGTAAATAGTATTTAATCTTTGCTTTTGTCAAACGTGACCTTAAAAAGTATCTATTTTATGGTATGTTTACATTTTGTCTCACGCCAAAGTGAATGGACTTTTTTTATAGCTACCTACATTTTTATTTTATTAAATATCTTTATTCAGCAGAAAATTTGTTGTGCATTAGGTTCCTCTCATAATTACCAATCATCTGTTTAACTACAATAAATCCTGTTTAATGCCTTCAAAAGATTTCAAGTCTAAGCATAGTGATGTGGCATCTTATATTTAGTATCTTAGATCAAGTAAGTTTCAAATACAGTCGAAACCGGATATAACTACATTGAAGGGACCATATAACTTTGGACGTTATGTCCGATAGTTGTTACAAGCAATATACAAAAGTAGTCATATTATTGTCATAATGTAGGTATGTAGTATGATTATAGATAATGAATATAAGCTTTTTTCATATAAAATATCGAAAATAGAAGTAATAAGTTTACTATGAAAAAATTGAAGTACCTACAGTATATATTATTTTGCTGGAACAAGTAAATTGGTTAGTCATTATAACTGAGGAATATCAATATGAACTTTATCAATATTCATTGGTTATAAGTCGTTTTAAGCGATATTTCGCTATATAGGCAGTTTGTTTACCTAAGGGTTTATATATGGTTTCGGCCAGGACCTTACCAATTAGTCGTAATAACAGACACGTTGTTATAAACGATGTTGTTATATTCGGTTTTGACTGTATATTGGTCTTATAAACCAAAAATAAGAATATTCTTTAAAAACTTCAAGGAAAATGAAATAATATATTCCTCTAAAGAAGCCGCACTGCAAAAGTATAAAGATACTCTAGGGTGTATATTACTTAGCAGTAATTATTATGATTTTTACACTGTGATTTTGTTCCAAGATTTTTACATAATGTGATTTTGTTCTCCGATATTTTGTGCTTGACAGTACTATTGTGTAACATTTGTAATTAAGATTGTACTTGGTTTGCTTCCACATTGTTTGTAACATACTTTTCAATGAGTTGGTGTTAATCATGTCTTGGCCTCTGATAATAAAAACAGCTAGCTGTATCTGGGCTATCGACCAGGTCCGTTGCTATATTAAAAATATTTCTTAAGAGAATTTTATTAGAAAAAATTCCACAGGGTCCAGGCAGCAGACATGAAACTTTGGATGGTTTTTTTTTGGAAAAATCTCTGTACATTTTCACATTTAGCAGTTAAATGCATAGAAAATAAAAATATCTCTATTATAATTATTTCCAGATATTTCACATGACACAGAAAGAGATTTTGAAACAATTGAATTGAATGATGATGAACAACAAGACATAAGTCAAGGCAGCAAAGTTGATGATAAAGATGCAGATGACGATGCAGACAGTATAGACGAAACACAGCTCAAGGATGAGGAGATGCACCTGACCGATGACCAGAAAGCTGAAAGGAAGATCATCGCTGAGGAGTTGAAGGTGGCTGGCAACAATGCCTTCAAAGATGGCGAATATGAACGGAGTGCGGAGAAATATACAGAAGGTAGGAATAAAATTCCTTTATTTAAGAAATAATTTGATGGTTTTTACGTAATTTACTATAATTATTTGTATTTTATCATTGTACAAAATCAAATGAGAATGTGGCATAGACCATGTTGTATGCCGAATGACTTTAAGAGAGCAGAGGCCAGTGCATCAGCTTCCCAGCTAAACAACATTATGTGTTCTGAGTCTGTTAGTTGTATTCGATGTATCCAGCAACTCATTAGCCAGTGGGTTTGGGTGCATTTGTTAGAAATATCATTTCTTGCAGCATTGTATTTCTTCTACTATAGTAGGAATATTTTAGTACTCATGGATTTCACTGTTTCGTGTGAACCATGGTGCGTGCGTATGAAATGTTACTCAGAATTCCGTTTCGAGCTCTTTGAAGGCAAATTATGTTGCTGTTACTGGTTCCACAATTGAATACCATAGGTTCATACAGGTTTTAAAAGAGAATTGTATAGGAGCAGTTTGATGTCCACTGTGATTGCGCAGGTGGTTAGCGCATGCAGTTACGATCATGTAATTAGCTACTTTCACAGTGGTTGGTCATTGGATGGGTGACCAAAATTTTATAATCTGGAGCTCTGAACTTAATAAAGATTATTTGATATAACTTAATAAGTAGTTTAACTGATATTCCATCTAATTAAAAAAATCCGGTCAAATCAAAAAGACAAAAGGCAAAAAGTCGGGATATGTCCGGACAAATCCGGACCGATGGTAACCCTAGTCGTGGCCCAATCTTACTATTCTACCCATAGGGACCCTGTACCCCAGTAGTGGGAACTTTTTGACTTCTTTTTATGTTTTCAGGATTGAAAATGTGCCCCCTTCAGTTTACACAGCAGCGTGCTATCCTCTACTGCAACAGGAGTGCAGCCAAAATGAAAATGGAGAAATATAAGCAAGCCATAAGAGATTGCACGAAAGCCATAGAACTCGATGACAGATATCTGAAAGCTTACAACAGGTATAGTTATCTTATCACGATATTGGATATAAGTACCATCTGGGTGTCTACTATGCCAACTGTTAGGGAAGAAATTAGCAAAAATAGCAAGCGATACCAAGAGCGATTGGACAATCACACAAATGAACTGGTAAAAGACCTACAAAATACACACACAAACACACACTCATACACTTATTATATTAACTAGCGGCCCGCCCTCGCTTCACTTCGGTGTAGAGCTGAAGTATAGACTACAGTTTTTGTTCTCAGGCTTGTATTATACACAATGACATTCATTTATGATTCTTCTTATACCTGCATACAAAGTCTCAGCCCGATCGGTTTAAAATTGTCAAAATTTTATACAAACTTTCATTCCCTATTTTATCCCCTTGGGGGTAGAATTGATCAAAATCCTTTCTTAGCGGATGCCTACGTCATAACATCTACCTGCATGCCAAATTTCAGCCCGATCTGTCCAGTGGTTCGGGCTGTGCGTTGATAGATCACTATGTCAGTCAGTCACCTTTGAGTTTTATATCTACGGCGGGAGACCTTGTACTGAAAAGAACCGGCAAGAAACTCAGCAAGGGCTGCTTTTTTCTCCCTATTATTATTTTCGGAGTCGTCAAATTGAAAAATGACTTCAGAGATGATAATAATAATAATAATAATTTATTGCATAAAAATATGGTATAAAAGGTGTTTGATTATTTTCATGTCTCACATATTTTACTGTTAAACAGCATGCAACAGTTTTTAAATCAACTTAAAATTAAAGTGTAATGCTTGTCAGCTTATCAATATCATGCCAAGATCATTTTATACTCAATATTATACAATGTCAATAAATATAAAATTATCCATTAAAATGTAAAAAATAAATGTCCAATGTTAAAAATTTGTTTTCTCACAATATTCCAATAATCAATAATAATCATACAATGGTGTCAATTCATAATAAAATTAATAATCAAAAAGTAAAATAGTAAATGCCCAATATTTGCTTTTAGGATCCTCCAGTAATCAGTATCGTACAATGTCAAACAAATTAAATAAATCATCAAAATATATAATACATGTCCAAAATCAAAATTTCATATATTGAAGTCCATTCAGCCTACTTATCCTCAAAATACTCTGCAAGTGAATAATAGCATTTTTCTATTAATAATTTATATAGACGACGTCTGAATAAGGACATAGGTAATGACTTTAATGGCTCAGGCAAATTATTATATATTTTCACGGACATTGTAAAGCTATTTCTACTACAAATTTCAGTTCTAGAGTCTGGTAAACACATATTTTTTGGATACCTAGTGTTAAAAGTACAGCAGTCTTTTTTAGTTTTATAAAGGTCAGGGTGCATTTTGACAAAGATACATAATTCAAAAATATAAATACACGGAACTGTCAACAACTTATAAGACTTGAACAAAGGCCTGCAAGAAACCCAAGAATCAACATTAGCAATAGATCTAATGCATTGTTTTTGTGCAATAAACAGTCTTTTAATTTTTACAGAATTACCCCATACTATTATGCCATACCTTATGATCGAGGCTACATATCCGTGATATGCTTTCAGTGCGGTTTGAGTATTGCTTATTCTAGACAAACGCCACAATGCATACGCAAATCTATTTATTTTGTTACATACTTTGTCAACATGTGCTTTCCAAGTACGATGATTCATGAAGTCACCTTTTATAAGCTTGCTCGCCACCAAATTGACATAAAAAAACATGATGAACATGATGTGTAACATTTGAAACCTCATCTTATATTAATGAAAAAAAAAGAAATAAAACCTACTACAAAAGGAATAAGCCATTTGAACATTATGTTCTAAAATCAAATCAAATAGCGCGCGCTTTCGCGACTTGCTGTTACACACTTCCGTCGCATTTCACGAAGTCACTCCCACAAATTGCAGGAAAGCGAGAGGAAAGATGTTACATATCAAAAAAATTTACACATATTTGGTTTCCTTCCAGGCGAGCGCTGTCGTACGAAGCCACAGAGAAACTAGACGAGAGCCTCGCAGACTACAAGAAGATTCTAGAACTAGACCCTTCGCACCAGGAAGCGAGAAAGGCCACACATCGCTTGCCTCCCCTTATAGAGGAGAAAAACGAAAAACTTAAGACGGAAATGCTGGGAAAACTGAAAGACTTAGGCAACATGATACTGAAGCCATTCGGCCTGTCCACAGAGAACTTCCAGCTACAGCAAGACCCGGAGACCAAAGGATACAAAATAAATTTTAAACAGTAAAATTGGCTATTATCATTTATAAGAAAGGACTTTATAAATTTAATTGGAGCAATTATGAAGTGTTTTCTTTTTGGGCCCACGTGTTGATACTTCGGACTAGGTAAGGTTAGTGTTGTGGCCATAATGCGCGAGCTAAGCGAGCGGAGCGAGCGGTAACGGCCGGCGAAGCACCTGAAAAAACATCGTTAGAGACCTTTCCAAAAAAATTTGTGAAGTGTCACCGCTTGTGCCCAGAAAGTACACTGCCGTTATACGAAAATGGGGCACACATTTTTTTTTGACTAGACATATTCGGAATCAGGATAAAAGGCCTATCTGCCTATTTTTTTTTTGTAGATTTTTTAATAACTAGATTAACTGAGATCTGGGCCCCACGAGAAGCGTAGATATTATGTCGGCTTCGAGATAATATCAAAAGTGAAATAATGATGGCATAGAAGGCTAATCTTGTGGATTTTCGATATTCCAATGATATTATATCCATCGTAGACATTTGTTCACTCACGAATGCGTTTCGTTTTTCTCGATTAAGTTAACATCACAGTCGATACAACATTATAATAAAGCAGTATTTAGAAGCAAAAAAATGATATTTTATTTTTTATGAATGCCATTCATATTAAATATGAGTATACATTTTTTGAGTAAAAGAAATCCCAACTTTACCTATATTGTATGCGCATATAATTTCAACGTTATGTATAATGAAACGTCAATAAAAAAATGTCATTCAAAACTATTTGTCACGGTAAAAATAAGTGGGAAGTTTTTGAAACATAAGTATAATCTCTCTTTGTATCTAGTTTAATTCACCATAACAGAAACTGGAAATTTCTGTAAAATAAAATTGGCAATGACGGACTACAACACAGAATAAATAAGGTAAAAATGACAAGACTGACAAGCCAAGATCCATAGATATTTATATGTCGAAGGCTCTTTACCAGTCGATGTAAGTCTGAGCATCCGTAGATAAATATCTATTGCGACATAGTGAGAATAGGGAAAAATAGTTTTCCTTCGATAAAAGCCAGTTCATTCGATATATATCGAAGGTGATATAATATCTACGCCGTGAGAATTGGGGCCGATCTCAGTTACTAAAAATTCTGCAAAAAAAAAAGGTAGATAGACTTTTTATCCTGATTCCGAATATGTCTAGTCAAAAAAAATGTGTGCCCTTTTTCGTATTACGACAGTGTACTTTCTGGGAAATATCTAAGCCGTGAGAATTGGGCCCCTGAGATCCACATCAGGTGAATGTTCCTAAATATATAGATATGGCTTATCAAGATTATTTTGTATTTTTTTTTCTATTTCATTCATATTCATTTATTCATTTATTGCATCTTGTTGTATACATAGGTGTTACAAGTATGGTTAGGTTGCAAACAAGAGCCCTGTAAGGGCACGGCAAATTTATAGATTATTATTACAATTAAATATTTTATATAAAATTAAATCACATATCTTAATAATATTATTTATAAATTAATAGTAACATTTAAATACAAAAATAGCTTAACAGATTACATTAATTAATATTATGGGTTTATGTCATGTTTATTTATTTACCTAACCTATTTTTTCGTCAATGTATTCGTTTACAGAATAGTAAGCCTTATTGATTAGAATTTTTTTAAGATTACTATCAAATTTACTTCCCTGGAGGGCTTTTAAGGAGTTGGGTAAGTGGTTATACAACTTGATTGCCATAAAGAAAGGCCCTTTTTTAATCAGATCAAGGTGTGGAGTTAACTGACATAAGTTGTTTTCTCGGCGAGAAGCGTAGCGTCGAGGAAGGTCAGTTATTCTATTAAAATAATGTGGGCTGGTACGAACTAATCTACAAAGCTCGTAAATGTACACACAACTGACCGTAAGAATCTTTAGGCTTACAAACAGCGGCCTACATGATTCCAGAGATGACAGGTTGGCGATCACCCTAATGCAGCGCTTTTGCAAAATAAATACTTCCTGGACATCGGCTGAGTTTCCCCAAAATACGATCCCATATCTGATCCAGGCTGCAGCGTGCGCATGGTATGCAGTCAACGCGCACTGAGCATTTGTACATTTACGCAATTCATATAGGGCGTACGTGAAACTGCTAAGTTTATTAACAACTGTACTCACGTGAGGTTTCCAAGACAAGGTGGAATCCATGGTAATGCCTAGTGTCACAAATGTATCGACTACTTCTATTTCGTTATGTTCAAATGTAACATTGAGGGGTAGTACTGATCTCTGGTGCGGTCTAAATTGCATTATTTTAGTTTTTTCCAAATTCAGTTCTAGACCTATTTCCCGCAGATGTTTGGCTATTTTATTTATTGATGATGTTATTTCATCGTGTAATGTATTTATGTCATTGTAATCGCCAGATATTATAAGAGTAGCATCGTCAGCAAATTGTACGATTTTGTGTGGTGTGGCACGTGACAGGTCATTTATATACGCCAAAAACATCAAACACCCTAGCACACTACCTTGAGGTATCGATCCTGAAATTGTATAGATTTCGGAATTAACATTTTCCAAAATACCTTTATTTGAGTGTGCAATTTGTACAAATTGCTTTCTGTCTTTTAAGTAAGACGCTAACCACTTATCTGTATTTCCACGAATACCTAGTTGTTCTAACTTTTTTAAAAGTACCTCGTGCAGAACACGGTCGTATGCCTTCGAAATATCCATGAAAACTACCACAGCACACTTATTTTCGTTTAGTGCATTCCGAATCTCAAAGCTACAGTCGAGCACCGCTGATGTCGTAGAGTGTTTCACTCTAAAACCATGCTGATTCTTATTAAGCACCTTGTATTTCTCAAAAAACCTGTAAATTCGTTTACATACTATTTTTTCAATAATTTTTGATATAACTGATAGTATGGTACTATTTAAAGGTTCTTTTTCCAAATAAATTAATGATTGGGCTGAAATCAACCCAAACATTAATTTTCTTGGAAAAACATCTAAATAAAAAAAACTTTAATATAAAAAAAAATCTTCAGCGTCTTAACCATATGCGGCGCCCGGGTGCGAAAGTCCAAAACGCGCCCCCTTTTTCAAAAAAAATTGACAAATTAATTTTTCATTGTATAGACTGCTACAAAAATATAGAAGAAATAAATCACATAAATAAGCAAGCATACGTATGTATATGTGTATGCATTATAGTTTGACCGTATTGACTAGAAAAACGTAAACAATCATTAAAACTGACGATGTCGGTTCTAGCATGATTCTCTAAACCTAAACTTAAATTTGACAGCTGTATATCCTTGTCATTCTCTATACAGAATGAAAACGAGAGACTGATGTTAAATTTAGTTTTTAAACATTTTGAACAGGGTAATCAAGGTCACAAATAGTTACACCTATTCAGATAAAACCGTAGCATGCAAATAAGTTTTTTATCAAATTAATTAATACTATGTCACATAATTGAATAAAAATTACTTAACAGGTCACAGAGTAAATAGTCAAAAATATAAAAATTCGATTAAAATCAGGTCATATTAAAATGTTAATCAAAAGTATAATTAAATCGGTATAGAAGATTTTTTAGGCTGTATGTAGGCTTTTCACTTCTATCGCATGTGAACTGCACGGATGCTCGCTTTACATGCTGCAGGCTGAACAGAGTTTGATGAAATTTTACTAGGAAGTAGGATACTTATCTATTTTCTATGTCGCAAAAATGTTAGGATTTTAAGAGATTCTTAGAAAACTAACTATTTAAACATCGAGCAGTTACATGCTTAAAAATATAAATTAACTGTATCACGAACTAGTGAATAATATCAACAGCACAACACACTTTATTAAAATTCAAAATGGCCGCTTCTCTTTTATATTTATAGAAACTACTCAGTCGCGCTCTCAGTATTATAACGGAAACGTTGCATTTTAATGCACGTTGCATGTTACTTATGCTGATTATAAGGAAAAAGTTCAAGAAAATAAACATGTTTTTGTTTGTGTTATTCGCTACGGGTTTTGGTAAGTGTTTTTTAATGTCCAATTTCAACGTCATCATATCATATCATCATCAGCCTATTAATGCCACCACTGCTGGGGCACAGGCCTTCCCTATGGATGGAATAGGGAGATTGGGCCATGACCCACCACACGGGCCCAGTGCGGATTGGCGGGTGCTAACGACTGCAGATAGTATATAATGTACTCTATGCTGCTGACGCAGCCGGGACCAACGGCTTAACGTGCCTTCCGCAGCACGGCGGAACTCGAGATGGAATATTTTTGGTCACCCATCCAATGACCGACCACTGCGAAAGTTGCTTAACTTCAACAATCGCAGCCGAACGCTCTTACCACCCGTGCCATCGAGCTCCTCTATGTCTAATTTCATTTAAGAGAAGTAGATGCCTTAGCGAATTTATAAAATAGACTTCTATAATTGGTCACGGTCGTTGGTTTACCGTAAATAATTTAAATCTTAACTCCAGTAAAACAAAATGTGTTAAATTTACTCTCCCTAATGTGAGGCAGGTTAATACTAGTATAAAAATAAAATTGAGGTAAAATAAAAACTTTTTAAAAACAAGCATTTATTTAAATGCGCTAAAAAGAAAGAATAAACTTTTACACTAAAACGTTTACTGTTAACTTATAACGTAATTTTAAATTTAACACATTTGACACAATTTATATGTTATAAAAGCTTGTCGCAAGATTTTAGTACTCGTAAATACGAGCTTGCTGCCTTCTTATTAAAATTTTAAAACTAAGAAACTAAATACGAGTACTTAAATCTCGCGACAAGCTTTACAGCCAACAGCCTAGACTGAATAAATGACTTTTCATTTCATTCATTTTCATTTCATTTCAATTCTTAATGGCTCCATGGGATAGCGGATGAACTATCTTAAAATACCAACAACATAGACCTAATTGCCCTTATTAATAAACAAGGAATAAGCATGGACTAGTTATGCCATGTCTGTCATCAAATGCCTTTTGTATTTTGAAAGGTAGCGTACTTGTGATCTAAAATTTATAATTATAGCCCAAGATAGATCTCAGTGGCGTGCATTTGGAGAGGCCTATGTCCAGCAGTGGATTAAGATAGGCTGTTGATGATGATGATTATAATTATGTGTATTCATTATTTTTTGTTTCTTAGGTTTTCACGGACATCACTCATTAAATTAAACTAGTTTTAACGGGTTAATGCACGAATTTTATTTATTTATTGACGTTTCGCAGCCTTTCAGGTCTGCATCGTCAGAATAATGGTACTTCATAAATAAATAAAGTTTCGTGCATTAACCCGTTAAAACTAGTTTTATTTAAGTAATCATTCATTAAACTATCAGAGGCGCTATGCTCTTTTAATGCTTTGAAAATAAAAATGATTGCAATACAATTTCGACAATCGTGTCTCGTCTCGAGTCTCTAGACTCGTAAGTCACCTGACCCAAGACAACTAAAGTAATAAAAATTCTCGGGACTTCGAGACACCAGACGTCCCGGGACCCAAACCCTAGTTTTTACTCATCAGACAGCTACATATTTTAATATTACATCTACGCCACTGAAATCCCCCGTATTAAATTTTTTTCTATCAACAAATCTTCAGGTTAAGTTTATGATTTTCAGATCATTGGAGCTAAAGAAGTTTCACTTCAGTCGTGTGGTCATAAGCACACTCGCTTTTTTTTTGCAGCTTCAAGGGACCATAGATCTGATATGGTCAAAATTTCACCTCCGCGAGTTCCTGAGATAAAGAGTCTTGATAGACAGACGGAGAACAAAGTGATCTTAAAGGTTCCCTTTTTGCCTTAAAAATAACATTGTGACTCACTCGCGATTCACTACCACGGCGCCGAAACTTTTCATGGCTTTAATTTTCTAGAATCCCATGGTTTTGGCAATCCTTTATAAAGGATTCATATGGGTTTTGAATAGTGTAGATAAAGTCTTGTATCCAACTGTTTATAATAAGGTATTAAAACACTAATGCGATATTGTTATCACCCTGAACTAGTGTGATAAACGCACATATACTGTTTTAATAATACTCCTGTCCCGCCCTCTTCATATGTACAACAGTTGCATAAATAATTATACCTATAGATGATGCAGGAAATTTTATTCTCAAAACTTTTCCCTGTAGTCTGTTGGTACTCGACTTAATTTTATACAAGTTTTAATCTGAGGTTTTACCTTGTCATTTGTAAGGTCCAAGTCGGTGTGAGTAAACCTGTTTGGGGAAACAATATTGATTGTCTGACTCACTGCTGTTACGTGTCGGGATGGGGTTCGAATTGAGAGTTTACTAGCACCCGCGAGTGCGTAGTACCTACTTATACCTACGCAGGTAACGCGCATAAGTTGTAAACAAGTGCAGATGTCGTTGCACTTTCTCCCTTACGGAGCACTGCATAAGGCTCATATTAGAATGAGCCGCACCATTCGACCTTTATCGCGATTCGCGGTGTTCTGGTAAATTCTGTCTCTAGTATTTTCGAGAGCGTTTGTGACAGACACTGCGTCCCTCTTAGACATGCTCGTCCCGAGTATCATTGCTGCTTTGGTAAGGTGCCAGACGATCGATGCAGATTATCTTGGGCTTCTTTCTATCTCCCTATCTTATCAGATAGGTCACGTCGTTAATTTTCGTAATTGCTCTAAAGGAGCCTTCCCAGCTGGGCTGGACTTTCCGATCCTTTTCTGTGGGTTGTGCAATCATTCGAGCTCTCCTTCCACGAAACCTCGAGAGTCGGCATTCCGATCATTGTTACCTCCATACATAATAAAACCCCATGTTTTATCCCCTCGCCCCGCTCATCCCGTGCTCGTGCAGTGATGCGCGACCAATTAGGTCGAGTGATAAACCCTATAAGGAAAGTGATCTGTGTTCTTTATTACATGATCTATGGGCTACCGGTTTTGGTCTCACCAAATGGCGCCACTGTTGAGTGAGGTCCTGTAGTGTAGCTTTTAATTTTTTTTAATACGCTGTGAAATCAAAGTTTCTGCTGCAAATGGAATGTTCTGCCCGCTCACGTGTTCCCTCCCTCTTACAACCTGAAGAAGAAGCAACATGCAGGCCGGCAGGGTGAGGATGGCTGGTGTGGCAGGTAGAACTGCTGTATCAGCTATCTTCGCGTCTGGTCTTCACCTTCACTTAACATCAGGTGGGGTGGAGTCATTTGTCGGACCTATCTATAAAAAAAAAATGAAAACAAAAGAACTGTATCATTAACATAATCGGCTATGCCACAGTGATGCGGTTCCGTTTTGTTCGGAAAAAAGAGGACATAATTTCTTAGCTCCGCTTTTAAATAACTGACATTCATTGACACGTAACTCATAATTTCCATAATTAATCTGAGTTATTACCAAATAAAAAATCGCAACAATATTTTCATTAGAAATAAACCCGCGAAATCTACCCACAAGCGATAACATTTGACATATCATAGATCTCACGCTACACGAGCGCCTCTAGGGGCGGATACGCGATAGCCTTCATTTGAAAAATTCTGTGTTTGTTTTTTTTTCTCTTTATTTGTGGCTACTTGATCATCATCGCACGACGAGAACGCGTGCACCGTGTCATCGTACGAGCGTTGCCGATTAGGACATAGGGCTTCCAAGGGGCCTCCAGATGATAAGCGGTTATTAGATAATAAAAAGATATTTTTATATCCTGATAAAAAAGAGTAGGTACCTATCACTCTTGCGTCACCTACTGACCTCCTGTCATCATCATCAGCCTATTAATGTCCCTGCTGCTGGGGCACAGGCCTTCCCTATGGATGGAATAGGGAGATTGGGCCATGACCCGTCACGCGGGCCCAGTGCGGATTGGCCATCCAAGCAGGGAGGAACTCGAGATAGAAGATTTTTGGTCACCCATCCAATGACCGACCACTGCGAAAGTTGCTAAACTTCAACGTTTGCAGCCGAACGCGCCTACCACCCGCGCCATCAAGCTCCTGTTTTAACTACAAACAATAACAATACACCTAATAAATTGCAAGTCTCTATATTTTCAGTTACATCACTGGCGCAACAAACAGAAGCATCAAAAAGGTACTACCTATATGTTATATTATTAAAGTTTTTATGTTATAAGCCCTTTCACATTTTTTGCAAAAAATCGTAATTTTTGAGCGCCTTATTTAACCGAAAAGATTCTGACTATTTCCAATAGAAGTTAACAGTACCATTATTCTCCCTATTGTAAGTTAATGTAGAATATTTGTAAATACCTACTATTTTCCTTTTTTTTGTACTGATCGTTCTACTGCAGCTAGTTTACAGAAAATATGATAATATGCACAACTTCAAACGCCTGAATCTCTCAATAATGTTCAATAAATTATATCATATTAATTGCTACGACATCAGAATTATGTTTTTTTGTAACATAATGTATTAGAATTTTGATATTCTATCTCAATAATTATCAAAAAAAACAGCTAACCTCCGTAGGTTTTCAGTGCAATTCTGTAAAGGGAAAATTTACTTCTTCAGTAATGTTGTGACTCGTATCGATTTGTAAATGATGTATTTGGAGTTCCTTTAAAGTTTTTCTTTTTAATTAGTATCTGCCATTATTTAATAATTTTATTATTTGCACCATAATGGATTGTTTATTAACACCTACTTATATTTTTATCATTTACAGTAATTCCTGCAAACTCCCTTCTTACCCCAAACATGGTAGCTACGTTGCTTTAGGAGATTCAACGGGAGAACCTGGACAGACGTTTGACCATGTAGCACTCAACGTTACCTGCGATTCTGGTTATCTTATCAATGCCATAGAAAGCGCCGTGATATTTTGCTTAGAAGGATTGTGGTCTTCTCAGATCACTGACTGCACGCGTAAGTGGAATTTGGCATTAACTAAACATATAAAAGTGACTGGTTAACTGATCGATCAACGCACGTTTCAATGAAGTGTCTAAAAGTATGAAACTTTGCTGAAAGATTCTTTAATGAACGTAAAGTCCTCTACGCACTCTCACTATCTTGAGATGGAAATACAAGATCTCATTTACGTGTATGGCGTTGTCCGCATGCTGGGTGCTGCAAGTTGGATGGTATGTAGAGGACTTAATTCGAAAAACTGTCATTCATGAATTTGGGATACCTCAAGGAACTGATATTAGGTCATCCGGAGTTCCACGTGTTGGGTTTCCTCTACACCTCAAACTGTAAAACTTATCTTAGACAACATGAACTTAAACAATGTTTGAGAAAGAGCGGAAAAAATTAAAAGGAATGGGGTTGAAAACGAAAAATATATTGATAGTTGTATGACACGCCGGGTTGTCGTAGTAGTGAGAAGATACCCGTACTTGCTTGATGGAGGGTCGAGTGCGTTAATGCTGGTGGACTGTTATAAATAAAACTCCCATGTACAACAACAAATACTTAACTATCGTTCGAAGAAACTTCATTTAAAAATGCGCATTATTCCTTGCGCTCGTGTTGGTAAGGAAAAGAAGAGTAAGAAACCTAATCACTCTTTTTCAGGTGCTTGCAGGCTCGTCAAAGACGCTAGCGTCAGCTACATGTGCTTGCTTCAAAACTCTCAAGGCAAGAGGGAGTGCAACGATCACGAACCAGATGGCACAATCGTGCAGGCTGTCTGCAAACCGGGCTACTCCACGAATAGATCGCTCTCTCACATGAGGTGCATCGACGGCAGCTGGGATTACGTCGCTCAATGTTCAGCAGGTATTTCATATTTGAAGTCTCATTGTTATCGCTAGCAATCTGGCTTAAGGCATCTGACCGCTACTTTGTTGACAATAAAGAATGGCTCATAGAAAGTGTTGCTGTTGCGGTTATTTTTTAGGACAATTTCAGCTTAATTACAATATTAAAGTAGCACCCATAAAATTATGTTTTAAGATACAAGGAGCATTCTTAAGTTTCGATAAAATTTATATTTAAAATATAAATTTATATTTAAATTTCATATTTTCTACATTGGAGTTCTTTATTCTTCTAGCTAGTTATTCATACGATGACTGTTCCTGGCAGGCTACAATTTTCCTTACAATTGTTCGTCTTATATACTAATTTGGCCCCGGTTGTCCGGGACCTTCGACCAACCACAGCGCTTACTTAAATGCGTGCCCCCGTCAAAAAACACGCTTTTTGATTGGCGGTTCATCACGTGACTATCCCCTCGTCGCACGAACCCCGCTGACGCCCGTAAAGTAGGCCTTGTGATTGGTCGACACGTTTTTCTTATGAAATACTAGAAAAAATTCGACACAGTCTATAAGGTCGTGGTAGCATAATTAGTTAGTGCATCCGCCCGGAGGGTGCAGATTCGAGTCCTGTCTGCTGCCTAGACGCGTGAAATTTTTTCTAGTAATTTTTTTCTTTACATCACCTAAATATAATATTCTATAAACGTAATATATATCTATTTCAGAATGCGGTCAGCTCCCAGATTTCCCTCCGCCATTGATCCTGGATGCTAAAAGCCAGATGCCGCCGTTTGTTCCGTGGAATGCCGCCATTTACAGGAGCAGGAAGCTCTCGAACGAGCACATCTGTGGTGGTGCACTGGTCACGAGAAAAGTCGTCATATCTGGTATATTTAGTAATCGTATCGTCGTCGTCATTTTTTGTATGGAAAAAGCTAAACTTCGCACTAAACGCGAAACTTTGACGATGAACTATAGCTGCCACAAAATTGTAGCTTAAGTGGGCTTCAATACCTACACCTGCAACTACACCGCTCGCGAAGTCATAAGTCGCAGCACGAAACTCTAGCTCTGACCGTTATTGCACAGAAGTAAAAATTAAGATGTCTTGGTGGGAAACGAGGTGCTGTGTGGACGTGCGTTGCGCCGATTGGCTCTCCAGTCGTACCTATACGCAGCTATCCCCTCCACGTTTTCTTCAGTGCTAGAGTTACATGCCGCGACCTGTACCAAAGGTTGAGTATGTTAGTCGACTTGGAAGTCAAAAAGTCCTCCTCCGTACCGCCCACCCTCACTCTTTAACTGGTCACTGTAAATGAGGTGCACTCGTTAATCCGTAAACAGCGCCCGCGTAACGCCCCCGGACGGAATCTATAGTATGGTTCTTAAAATCTTACCTGCGCAGCTCCTTTGCCTTATCACCGCGATCTTTAACGCGGCTATGTCAAACACGATATTTCCCGCAGAGTGGAAAGAGGTCGTCGTTATCGAGATCTGGAAACCCGGTCAGGACGGCGCCTTACCCTCTAGCTACCGCCCTACAAGTCTCCTCAAAATGCTGGGGAAACTTTACAAACGCGCCCTCGCTAGCCGCTTTAAAGATTTTCTCTTTGCAAACAATCTTATTATGAACGAACAGTTGGGTTTCCTTTTTAAACACTCATGTGCCCACCAGGTGCACCGCCTAACGGAGCACATCCTCCACTACTGCGATCTATCACGAGCCTCCGTGATTCCCACAGGTGCGCTTTTCTTCGACGTGGCGAAAGCATTTGACAAAGTCTAGCATAATGGCTTAATTTCTAAGCTATACAAACTCGGGGTGCCGGACAGACTTGTGCTCATCATACGGAACTTTTAGTCGAATCGCTCGTTTCTCTCTCTTCGCCTCGCCCTATACGCGCCGGCGTCCCTCAGGGCTCGCCACTGTCGCCCATCATCTACTTGGTCTTTACGAACGGCACGCCTAAGACTCCTAAAGTCGATCTGGCGCTTTTCGCCGGCGACACCGCCCTCTACACCTCCGATAGACGTCTCGGAACAGTCTGTAATAGACTTCAATTAGCCGCTACCTTAGCACGACACCGCCTCAAATCGTCAATTTTTTTCCCAGAATTGCGAAAAAAACTCCCAATTTGGTAACGCTGCCCTGGTGTTCTAACTACACACAAAAATTTAATATACCAACAACATTTCAGGTGGTCACTGCTTTTGGAGCTGGAAGGATAAACGCGTAGAGAGTCCTGATCAATACGTAGTAGTTGTCGGCAACAAATACAGGCCCTGGGCCCATCCCGATGACTTAAATACTCAGATGTCTCAAGTAAGTCATCATCATCATAACCAACCTATTAAACTCAAGATCAAATTCATTGCAGATGCACTATAGGCTTTTATAAGTACCTACTCAAGAAATTTGGTAGCCTCGCCATCGGTTCGTAAATCTACGGTGAGGCGGGTAGCTTGTACTGAGAAGTACCGTCAAGAAACTCTTTTGGGTTGCTTTTTTCTCTCCTTCTTTTATTTCATGCAGTGACCTCAATTGAATGACGCCTTAAAACTTATAAACATGTATTCAGATTCACTTAAGATCATCTTTCATCACACAATGTTAATAAAATTACAATAAGTATACAAGAGTTTCGAAATATCGAACCAACAATTTGCAAACATAATGTGCATGATGATGACGGGGTTAAAGTAAATGAAATTCTATTTAATCCGTCAGTTGGATCATCAAAAAATAATGGACACTTACTTGTCTTTTGTCTTTCTTTTGACTTAAAGCTCGTCGAAGAAATAAAGAAAAATTGAACCAAGACGTGACGCCATGCGACCAATAGTACCTATCCTTTGCTCGTTTCTCAACAGGTATCAGAGATCAAAGTGCCGCCCCGATTCTTAGGTGTGGCGGCGAACTACCAGGAGGACATAGCCCTGGTGGTGCTTACCACACCTGTGCAGTACAACGCCTACGTCAGCCCCGTGTGCCTCGACTTCGACCCAGGGTTTGAGGAGAGGCAACTTACCAACGGCAACGACGGGATAGTGAGTAGTAAACGTAGATCTTGAGGATATTACCACAGAACACATACAGGTATATATATGTATACAGTACCCTTAGTACAAGTTTGAGCTCACGAAAACTATCATAGTTTTCGTAATTGTAAATTATGTTTCTATGTCCATTTTTTGTGAAAAGTAACCAAATATACTTAAAATTTAAGAAGAAGCAAATGATTTAATGATAGAATTTAAACACTGTATATTTGTATTGAAACGAAAAAATTAAATCAGTACCCTTAGAACGAGTGCGAGCTCAGGAAAACTATCATAGTTTTCGTAATTGTAAAACTCGTACTAAGGGTACAGGGCGTCCTAACCCCATGCCACACGGATGGAAAGATAGAATCATTATTTGATAAATAATGTCCACTCAATATTATGTATTTTTTTTATTATACTTTTTTCTAAACAAAATATTTACTCTTAAAGCGAAGTAACTACCTATTATAAAGGTAGCGAAAAACTTCTTGAGGTAAACCATAGACGAATAAACTTACTCTGTAGCGATATTTTTGTATGTAAAATCTTAGAGCATATAGGTACTTTGACTTCTCGATTTCATTACAAACAAACATTATGTTCATTCATCAAGAACTGTTCATTCAAATATCATTCATTCTTTTAATGTCCCATCCCTAACTTTTGTTTTGGTGTACGCTCGAACAATTGCATAGTTACATAGAAATTCTTAGGGTGCGGCCAGAGTGCACTCAGATTCAGAGTCAGATTCAGATTCTGAAAACAAGCGCGAGAAATAAACAGTGTAGTCTAAGCATGTTGCCTGCTTTTTCTCGCGCTTTGTTTTCTGAGTCTGAATCTGAATCTAAATCAGGAGTGCAATCTGGCCGTACCCTTCGACTACACTGTTTATTTCTCGCGCTTGTTTTCGAAATCTGAATCTGAATCTGAATCTGAGTGCACTCTGGCCGCACCCTTAGCGTGTGTTCGTTTTTTTGTCTGTGTTACGTAATTTTTGAAGTGTGCGTTTATAGCAACAACACGCGGGTGTTTGGGGAAGTATTGCATATATTCGTTAGTGTGCTATGTGTACCTCTCCTGCACCAAAATTGGTGGCGATCGAACCGTTGTATATGCTCTAAGATTTAAAATTGGTACTGCCCAGGCTTCCTTGTCTATTTTCGTTGCTCAAGAAGTTTGCCGGGGTGTATAACATCCTATACTCTCTCTATTCTCCTATTCTCAAGCCAATAAATTATGTACTTAAATTCTAAGTATAAATATCAAAATGTTACTTATACTTCAACCAGGTAGCCGGATGGGGTAAAGACTCTTCGGGAATTATACCCGCGTTGGTGAAAATCATCAATGTCCCATACTTACCCATCGATGAGTGCCTCGCCGTTGCACCAGCTGACTTCAAGGCATTCATCACAAGCGATAAAATATGCGTAGGATCCAAAAACGGTAAGAACTCAATTAAAACTCTTTATGAGGTATGAAGAAAGTGTAAAATGGGTGCCTAAATTGAAGACAGTACCCCTAGCACGAACCAATATTGAATTCGTATCGTTTGCGAGTCCGAAATGTCATTGTCAAATGTGTACTGATTTTTAGTTCTCGTTACGTACTTTGTGCCACTGCTGTTCAAGTTTCCATACAAAATTTGACATTGATATTTCGGTTTGCAAACTATTCAAAGATAATGGTTCGTGCTAGGGGTACTGTATTCGATTATCTGAGGTGTTTACTGCTCGGAAGCCAATAAAAAGTGTCTAATCTTAGATTAAATCAAAAAGAGAAGATACGGCACTCGCAGAGATAAAAAAAAATGCCTTCGATGTTTTTATAAAGAACACAAATAGTTCAAAATCAAATAACAAATGCCTCGGCAACACTTTTTATTCGTAAAACTGTAAAAACTTATTTTTTTTTCAAAAATCACGGTTTGTCGTGAATGTAATCGCCATTTTATTATCAAGAAAAGGACAACAATGCAGCTCAGCCGTACGGACTCGAAAGCGGACTCGCCGTTTCGCTCGCGCTGCGTTGAAGCGTGAAGCGTACAATTCAGTCCCGCCAAGGGCGGATCCAGGGGGGGGGGGTCATGGGGGTCATGACCCCCCCCCCCCTGGGCTGGGTACAGATGGACCTAACCCAGGGGGATTTAATTTAAGTACTTTCAATATTTAATATACCACGACTATATGACCCCCCCCCTAGCGCCAAAGCTGGCTTTATGACCCCCCTCTGGCGCCAAAGATCCGCCCTTGAGTCCCGCTCGATTGAATGTTTATAATATACAGACGTTTGCGTATATGACAGTTGCTTATGTAGTTGAGTCGGATCACATTTTATTTGATGCTAGTATGAGCGTTCAGTATTTTCCCTTTTTGTTTTAATCTAAGTGTCTAACCCAATGTTTTCTCTATATGTATAAACATGATATATTGTCGGCAACGCCATCTAGTTTTTAAGTGTCGAAACCTAAACACATTATTCGAAGTTTGCAATTGCAAAACATCTAGATTCACCTAGAGTAACTAGATGGCGCTGTCGTAACAGAGAATGTATTAGAATTCCAATAATTATTCTTATGCGCCTGCTGGTGTCGATTCTGGCGTGATTCTTTAAACTTAAAACTTAATTTAACATCAGTCTTTCCTTTTCATTCTGTATAGAAAATGACAGGGATGCACTGTTGTCAAATTTAAGTTTAGCTTTAGAGAATCATGCCAGAATCGACATCATTAACGAAGTATAATTTCAAGGATAAAAATTATATTTTTTACTAAAGTACCAGCACAATATTAGTTTCTAAGGGTTAAAGTACTTAAGCGCTCAAAAATTACGCTTTCTTGCAAAAAATGTAAAAGGGCTCATTACATTCATGAAAAAAATACACCTATGACTGCACTAAAAGCAACTTTTTCTTTTAACAGTTGCCACTGGCATCTGCCGAGGCTTCGGCGGTGCGGGACTGGCGTTTCCACGCTTTGAATTTGAGAGGGCCTACACAAAATATTATCTTCGAGGCGTCATCTCCTCAGCACCTAACACAGAAAACTGCACCAATTACATCAATACAGTCACACAGTTGTCTAAACACGAGTTATTTATAAAACAACAGCTGGAAAATTATTAAAAAATAAACGTATCCTTACTTTTATTGTATTTAAGTAGTTTCATTTTTAGCCGACCACGGCAAATACAAAAGGAAGGGTGCAATAAGTGTAGTCTGTACCCTTAGCATGAACCAATATTAAATTCGTAACGTTTGCGAGACCGAAATGTCATTTTCAAAATGTGTACTGATTTTTAGTTCTCGTTACGTACTTTGTGCCGCTGCTGTTCAAGTTTCCATACATTTGACATTGACATTTCGCATTCGCAAACTATTCGAATTCGATAATGATTCGTGCTAGGGGTACTGTACCCCAGCACACCGATTAATCTACTTAACCTAGGGATGAGTGAATGGTGACCCAAATTACTACGGTACGTTTAATGTGTCAGTATTTAGCTCGGAAACGCGTGGAGTTATCGAGTTAAAATTTTAACCTTAAACTCACGCTTATGGTCGCTTTAAGCTGTAAAAAAAAAGAAGTTTTAATTTACATACAAAAAGAGAAGTCAGAGGCGGCCTTACCCATTGCGAGGCTCCGGGCGGCAGGTCTTTGCGAGGCCCTTTGTCTTTCGTGAAAAGTATGTGATGCGAAAGTAGGTCTGGTTGTTTGGTTTAGGTATTTGTCATGTTTAAGGAAAAATGCTTAAATTATACAAATAAATCAAATTTGAATTTTAAAATATTTTACATTGAAAGATTCACAAAATTAACAAATACAGAGATGATAAATTTTAAAATTGATGTTTGCGGCTTTTCCTAAGACTAAAATCTTTAATTAAAGCACAATAATCTAACGAATAAGCTACGTCATTTTCGATTGAAAGAATAGCGAGGGCTGAAAGCCGATCTTGTGTCATTGAAAAAAAACTATTTTTTTTTATATTTTTAAAATTTGCTTGGGTTGTTGCGCGAGGCCCCTTTAGGAGCGAGGCCCCGGACGATTGCCCTGTTCGCCACCCCCTAAGACCGCCACTGAGAGAAGATATATATTTAGGTTGCGTATCTACAAATTTGTACAGAACCCTCTGTGGGAGAGTCTTCTAGAGAGGTTGTTCTTCATTAATGAGGCAAAATCGAACTTAATTATAAATTTTATTTATATTAGAAGAGCATATGATTTGAGTGCTTTTGAAGATCCTTCAAATATTTACTAACCTCGTAAAGATGAGAATTCATAATAAAGTGCACCGCTTAAACTCCCACACACACGGTGGCTAATTATAGTTAAACAAACAATGTTTTTTTTATCATTAGTATATTGATTTATTGAGAAAATGGATGCGTGAAGAAGTTTTTAGGGCTGGCAACGCGTGTACGGCCCTCGTGGTGTTGCAAACGTCTACAGACCACTTATAAACTTACCATCCGAACGTGGACTTCTTTGCCTTCCACATGTTAATAAAAAATACGTGTGACACTCGGGGACTGCCGCGGTAAAGCTATTGCATAGCATTATTTATCAACTTATGCAATTATAATTATTTATTTATTTTATTTATACATTTTTTTTTCTTTGATATCAATTCGAGTTTTTTCTTTGCTAATAATAGATGGCGAGGCAGGCCTTATGATATTTTATTGGGCAAGCAAAGCAAACAACAGCATTGCCCGGCGCCATAAAACTTCCACAAGCTCCACAGTTTACCATCTTTAGTCTAAAAATTTAAATTATAATTATAAAGTCTAAATAAAAGGGAGACAAATAAAAATAAGAACAGGTGCTGGGGTCTAAAACAAAAAAAAAGGAAAAAAATAATAATAAAAATACTTGAACTGACGACCGCGGTGATGCGCCGAATGTTGGTCCCGTGGCAAAAACTTAACACATGACGCCGTTTCGATCTCTACTGGAAAGGCGAAAATTGTGTTGCGTGCACTGTTCTCAGGTTATTTTCGTTACGGAATTTTTGATTTAGTCATCGCGCTCAAAGCCCGCGATAAAATCTATGCAATAGCTTAAAAACAAGTCCAATATGTATTTCTGAAATACTTTTACCTCTCATTTACATCATCATCAGCCTATTAATGTCCCCACTGCCGGGGCAAAGGCCTTCCCTATACATGGAATTGGGAGTTTGGGCCATGATCCACCACGCGGGCCCAGTGCGGATTGGCGGATGCTAACGACTGCAGATGCAGCCGGGACCAACGGCTTAACGTGCCTTCGAAAGCACGGAGGAACTCGAAACAGAAGATTTTTGGTTACTCATCAAATGACCGACCACTGCAAAAGTTGCTTAACTTCAACGACCGCAGCCGAACGCGCTGGCCACCCGCGCCATCGTGCTCCTCCCCTCATTTACTAGTATAAATACATGTATTTAACAAATTTTAATTTTAAAAAAATATTTTTATTTATACTTATTATGTTATGTTACATGTATACAACATTTAACATACAATACTAAACGTGTAAAACTTGTTGGATAAACATAATTAAGTGAAATAAATAGTTATACGTACTTACTTGTAAAGATACTTAGTTGTATAAGCAGCGCAAAAGAAAGGAAGTTTTTTTATGTTAACACCTGATGTTAAGTGGTGGTAAAAGTTTTAGAGTGACCTCCGTTGACGACCTCCGTGGCTGAGTGGTTTGTACGTCTGGTTTCATAGTGTCACCGACTCGAGTAGTCCCGTGTTCGAATCCCGGTGGGAAATACGAGCATTTGTACTCCAGTCATGGATGTTCAATATGTATTTCTATATAAATATAATTATATATGTACAGTATATGTATTCTATCCGTTACCCTAGCATCCAATAACACAAGCCTTAAAGTGCTTACTTTGGGGTTAGGCTAATTGGTGTGAGTGTTGGAAATATTTATTATTATTTATAGAGTTTTCAAGCGTTTGGCAACCCTGCGCGGCGCGGCCTCGAACGCGACAACACGGTAGTCGGGTAGCACTTTAAGACAGACTGAATTTTACTATTCATGTCAAAGTGAGTGCGATACGTTTAAATACAATTTATTTGTTTTATTTATTTATTTGACATACCATCGACAATTTGCAGAAAAGATGCGAATTGCCATTGCAGGCATGTACCTACAACATTGTCTATATGTAGGTAGGTACTTATTTTTTTAACAGTAACAAATTACTGTTCGGTTTGAACGTTACCATGCAAATGATTTTTGAGGGCTTTGAATGGAGCATGAACAATGTCAACATCATGGCATATCTCGTTGTATGCATCTTTAATTCTGTTAAACGGTGAAGCTAATTTTGTTTTAAAGGGATAGTTAACGAATGAGTTGATGGGTTGGCGGGGGATTTTTCTGGGTCTTGCGCAACAATATTGCCGTGAACTAATTTGTGCAGAAATAAAATGTCCGCGGTTTTTCTACGCTTTTTTAAGGTATGAAGTTTATTTGAGACGAGTGTGGTAATCCACACGGTAAGGACACTTCCTGTCTTTGAAAGCAAGAAACCTCGTAAAATTACGTTGAATTCGCTCGATTCTATCACGATTATTTTCGAAGATTCTTCTGGCTTAGTACTTTCTATTATGAGCTATTATCTAGTACGCTGCATAGCAGATTGTAGAGTCATTGTTGACTCTTCTGTCATTGATCATGTAATTTTTATCGAAAGTTTAAGTGGGTGTGTCTCGTAAGTAACTTGTTCACAAAGTCAACTGACTGACCTACAATCACACGATGACTGTCTATTTAGCAACATTTATCAATCAAACATCATGTTCAAGGATTGAATCATCAACTGCAGGTGTAATCCGAAATATTTTTATTTTTAAATTCAGGCATATGCGTGAATTTCGCAATAAACGTTTGTTTGTAAAATCTTATCCCTTGGACCTATTTACTGCATTTTTTTTTGAGTGTGTATGCTGTTGGTCGCAGTTGACCTTTACAGTGTCACCAGGTTTGGGGACGGCGAGATCCTAAGGGGACCTCAAGCCGAGAATTGCGAATGCCTCCAGAGGTATTCCAGGCGGATGGCATCTCTCCGCTGGAGGAGTCTCCTCTCCGTCTGGAGCCTCTAGACCACTCGAACCTGAGGGAGCTAGCTCAATTAGAGGGCGTCTCTGAGACTCGGACCTCGGCTCTAGTTAGCCGTTGTCGTGGGGGGCGGGGAATAACGCCCAGGTACCTGTACCTGGTATAGCGTGTCGTGTGTAAACCGGGTCTTGGCACTCTTAGCCTACGGATTGACTGCAAATTTTGCATAAACATTATTTAATAGATATACGCTAAGCCTGTTACATATTTTTTTTACAACTACCCTCAAAAACAAAACTTCATGTCAAAGTTTGTATGGGAGATCATCCAAAAGTGCATACTTAAAATTGACTAAATTTTGAACACCTACTCTGTTTAAAATAAAAATGCTATCTGTGTTTTAATTTTTCAAAACTACCCTCGTAAAACAAAGATATAGATGTTGCATGTTGAACTTTTAATTAGTGCGTCAACGCACTCCTACACTTTTGGTCGTCGTGACATGATATTTAGTAAATAGGTTGTTTAAATGACGTAGGCATCTAGTGAGAAAGGATTTTTTAATATTTCACAGTGAATTGGGGGATATAGGGGTTCAAAGTTTGTATGGGAAAACGAGTTTGGATAGCTTGACTGCTTTAAAACTTGGCTTAGATATATACAGATATAGGTGCTCGATGGCGGGTTCGAGTCTCGTCTGCTGCCTGATCCGCATGGATATTTATAGTAAAATTTTGTTAAGATTTATGAAATGAAATGAAAATGAAAAAATGTTTATTAATAACATAAACATATATAAACCGTGTTACAATAATAGAGATTGGATTCCCCTTTTAAGTGTGAGAACACTTGTGCCAGGGAACGCCATTCTCCCGTAGCTTAAAGTGGTTATGATTTAAGTATAATGTATTTCTATTCATTACTGTGGATGGACTATTACCAAGCTATCGCTCCTGGGTCTAGGTTAATTGGTTCGACTTATTTAAATATTTACAAACACCAAACAGTATTTGGTAGCGCATTAAGTAATATTGTGCAAGTTCGTACCTCATCTTCTTCATGTCAAATAATTATGTTGGTTTGCATAACGTTAAATTTTAAAACGT